TGGAGTGGGTTGCCATTTCCTAGCTTTATTCTGGATGCCAGCAACTGGTGAAAGTGAACGTGAGGTTGCTCAGTCGTGTCCGACTCTTTGCGACCTACCATGCACCTCTGTCCATGGGATTTTCCAGGCAAGAGCACTGGAGTGGGCCGCCCTTTCCTTCTGCAACAACTGTGAAGGGTAGGGCAGACGTCTGTCCAGTGGCTGACCCCCCACCTCCCACCCAAGACAATCAATGAGCCACAGCTTTTATAGACGGAGGGAGGGGGCTACAGGCAGAAACAGCACAGTCAGCTCTGACAATCATCTTGAAACTGGTCATCATTGGTCTGATTGGCGTCATCTTGTGTTTTAAGTACAGTTAACCTTCAGTTCCAGGGTCCGTGTGTTTTCATTTCTTGGGTCACTTCTCAGAATTGTGGCAGCTTCTCATGGTTTCCCAGGAAGCTCAGTGGTAAAAAATCCACCTGCCAATGCAGGAGACGTGGGTTTGCTCCCCGGGTCGGGAAGATTCCCTGGAGGAGGAAANTCAAGGAGTCAGACACGACTGAGCAACTGAACTGAACTGAACCCATAGATCCAGAACGTAGATGAATGGATTGCCAAGGGTAAAGGGGTGAGATGGGCAGAGAATGGGAGGGACTTTTCATATTTTCTTCTTGGGGTGATGAAAAAAGTTGGAAGTAGACAATGTTGACCATTGCACAAAATCGTGAACGAACTTGGTGAAGCAAAATTGTACCCTTTGTAAGAGTCAAAATTGTACGTTGTGTGTTTCATGACCATAACAGGTATCTGATCAGGAACTTAATTCTCTTTGGATCTTTTTGTGCATCCCTTTCTTGGAACTAATAAATACCCTGGTGACAGCAAGGAAATGTTTTGAGTGGATAATTTTTGCTTAATATTTCCAACGTCACTATACTACATGGAATTAAGTTTTTAAATGGTCTTCCTCGTATTTTTTTTTCCCAGAAGAATCATGACTCAGAGCCTTGCCTGGTGGCTTGTCTTGACTGAATAATGTAAAAACTGACATTACTGTTAACATTCATTTGAGGAGTCTCACACACTGTAAATTTCTTGAAAATACAGCAAAGAACAACATAGTCCCAGACTACAGAAGTCAAAATCTAGGGAGCAATTCAGACATTTCAACCTCTTTTTCCTGTTAAGGTGGATGTCAGAAGAATGATGGATGGACTAATATCCATTCCATATGAAATACTGTACCAGTGAGGGAATGGTGTCTGGTGTTGGGATGAGGAATGCAGAGGAGATGGAAGGGTGGAATAAAATGAAACTAATCCTCTTCATTTATTTTTTGCCCCCATTCTTCTGAACAGTGAATACGTTGCTGACAAAAGGTAGAGGATCCCTATACGTAATCCCTATACATAAGGGGAAATTCTCATGGGCTTTTAGAAGCATGTGCTCAACATTTTGCTAGTAAATTCCTCAGTCACTATGGCTAAAGGACGTACATTTTCTGTGGGGTCATGGAAAAGTCCCAGACAGTCCCTAACCAGAGATACCAGGGCCTGTGCCAAAGGGTAGTTACTGAAAAGCTAAGACTGTGACCCCCAAAAGTGGCACATTCCCTGCAGAACATACAGGATTCTGACCTCACCCGAGATCTTTACATGAGGAATTTTATTTTATTTTTCTATTTATTTTTATTAGTTGGAGGCTAATTACTTTACAATATTGTAGTGAGTTTTGCCATACATTGACATGAATCAGCCATGGATTTACATGTGTTCCCCATCCCGATCCCCNCTGTAGCCCACCAGGCTCCTCTGCCCGGGGAATTTTCCAGGCAAGAGTACTGGAGTGGGTTGGCCATTTCCTTCTCCGAGAGATCTTCCCAACCCAGGGAGTGAACCCGCGTCTCCTGCATTGGCAGGTGGACTCTTTCCCACTGAGCCGCCGGGGAAGCATAGGCTTCCTGGTTAAAACTTTCAGATATCTATACTTTGACTCCTTCCAACTCTCCCGGTAAATGAGAAAAGTATTTGCTAGACCAGGAAAATCAATCTTACTGCCAAAAAGTGCACGGGCTTCCCTGGTGGTAAAGAATCTGCCAGCAATGCGGGAGACCTGGGTTCACTCCCTGGGTTGGGAAGATCCTTTGGAGAAGGAAACGGGTACCCACTCCAGTATTCTAGCTTGGAGAATTCCATGGGCTGTATATCTACGGGGTCACAAAGAGTCAGATATGATTCAGCGACTTTCACTTTACTTCTTTACCAGCTGAGCCACCAAGGAAGCCCAAGAATACTGGGGTGGGCAGCCTATCCCTTCTCCAGCGGATCTTCCTGACCCAGGAATCACACCAGGGTCTCCTGCATGGCAGGCAGATTCTTTACCAACTGAGCTATCAGAGAAGTCTACCACAAAACCAACATGGAGGCCTCTTTGATAAATTGTTTTTTTTTTTTTTGGCGGAGTGTCCATGTGAAACTGGATCCATGGGTAGATTGGATTATCTAGAATGAGGTCATATAAATGGCTTGACCCGCCCTTACACAATCACTGTGCTGATGGGGTTGCAAGCAGGGACCCTTGCCATTTCCCCTGGCTCTCCATAAATAGAGACATTTCAGCCCCAGACACACTCTGAGAGCCAGTCACTGACTTGAGGAGGGTGACGGCAAGAGGGCTCAAAGGAGGTAAGTGATGAGTGAGACGTCTAAGGAGAAGGCTTGGGAATCAAGACAGAAGGAGGTGGTGGGTTTCGGAAGGCTGGGTTTTCTACTTACCTTGCATTAGCTCAAAGACCTTGTGAAAGCAGTGGGTCTCCCTTAAACTCCATTTTAACTACAGTTGACTGCTGAGCTCTTTGTTCTGGGGGGAAGAGTGTTACCACCCTTCATGGTGTGGTGTGGTTCATTTATTCCACAAGGCTTTCTGAACCTTGGCCCCCTGGGCCTTTCTAAGCAGAGATGTTCGTCTGTGTTCATTTGTGTTAATCTGCACAGAGAGAAGCTCTCAGATCTACAGTAGAGAACAATATTGTCCCAATTTCCATTTGAGAAAACTGACCCCCCACTTTTGCCCATTTAGAAATCCAAATCCGAAGACGGGCAGCATGGACGCCTATAAGCAGGTCCAAAAGGGACCCCTGAAGCTGAAAGGAGTCACAGAGCTCGGCGTGACCAAGCGGAAGAAGAAAAAGGACAAAGACAAGGCAAAACTCCTGGAAACGATGGGCAAAATCCAGAAGAACCAGGAGGAGGAGCTGAGGCGCCACCTCGACAAGCGGACCCCAGCCCAGGTGGCCTTTGAGAAGGTGCAGGAGAAGCGACAAATGGAGAGGATCCTGAAGAAAGCATCCAAAACCCACAAGCAGAGAGTGGAGGACTTCAACAGACACCTGGACATGCTCACAGAGCACTATGACATTCCCAAGGTCAGCTGGACCAAGTAGCCGCCCCACCCAGCAGACGGAGTATTGTCCAGGGGAAGCAGGAAGCAGAGTTGGGGTCATCTCTGGAGCCTTTGGAAACATCCTTTTACACACATGCTTTTGAGCCTTCTGCTAAGCCCCTGCTTATCAAAGTAATGGGCCCTTATTCTGGAACTGCATTAAAGAGAGATGGCCCTTTAACTCTTAAAAAAAAGAAAAGCAACATCCATGTCCAGTGGTTCATGCAGCCTCTGGACCTGTGTTTTCACCAGGAGACCCGCACGGGCGAGAAGCCCTACAGCTGTGGTCTCTGCCCCAAGAAGTTTACCCACGACTCCACGCTGCACGCTCACCGGAGGACCCACACCCAGGAGAAGCCTTTCTGCTGTGAGCACTGTGACAGAGCTTTCAACCACAGAGGAAACATCAGTGTTCACACCCTGGGCTCCAGCCCTACGTGTGCCCCGAGTGTCACCGGCCTTCTGCTCCCTAGGGTCTCTCAAATCCCACCAGGAAACCCATTCTGAACGACTGGCCCAGGACCCTGCCCTTGAGTCCCAGTCCTTTCTGCTCCAAGAAGGAAATTCACAATGACTGGTCACTTCTGTAACACAAAGGGTGGATGACGTGTGAAGAGCTTAGGAGGATATTGGCTCTGGGGGGGGGGCGGGGTCCATTGGCGTGAGTGAGGAGGTTATTTTGGCTTATGTCTCCCTTTGATTTTGTTTTCCACTTCAGTGTAGCCTATGTTTAATAAGTTTTTGCTTTGTATTGTTGTTCTTCTAATGAAAGCATGTCTCATTAGTTACCAGTACTTCATGAAACTGCACCTACTGTTGACTGCCTTCCTGTTAGGCGGGACTTCAGTGTAAAACTGCGTGCTCCTGGCAGAGAGGCCAGATGAAATCCCGGGTTTTCCGTTTGATTTTAATTTTCAATTAACCCCTTTTCTTTCAAGGGTTTTTTTGGTTTTTTTTTAGGCTTTTTTTCCTTGGATTGGTTGCTTGCGTTGTTTTTGCTTCCTTGGTTTTTCTTTTGTTGGGTTTGGTTCTTTCCTTCTTTTTTGGGTTATTTCTTCCCGAGGTGTTTAGGAAAAGGAAGGCTTCCGAAACCGATAGGTGTCATTCTTTTTTCCTACTGGTGTACAACTTCCAGTCTTTAAAAAGGCTACTTAGAAATCGGTCCTTCTCACACCTTAGCTCATCAGCTGATTTGAGAAAAGCCTTTTAAGACTTCTCTCACAAGAACAGAAAGACGAGAGTCGTCAACCCGATCTGCCTACCACCAGCATGTCTCTGACTCCGTCAAACCCTCCAGGCAGTGAGAAAAAAATTCCCGCGCTCATTAAAGCCAGTCCGTTCACCCCAAAACGCAATCCCCAAACTCCAAAACCAATAAAATAACGAAAAGAAAGCCGGTCCACGGCTCTCCGCAGCGGTCCAGCGGTGGAGACCCAGTGCCGTCCAGCCGTGGAGACCCAGCGCCGTCCAGCCGTGGAGACGCAGCGCCACCCCGCAGGCGGCGCGGTTTCCTTCCGCGCCCTGGGAATTAAGGTCGCACGTGCCTCCCCGCTTGGCCAAAAACAAACCAAACACCCACGGAATCTGTCACTAAACCACTGCGGAGGCCTCTTCAGTGAACTGTGGGTTCTCCGGAGGGAGTTTCCGCGGGCAGTCGAGCCCCTGGTGATTAAGTAAAATGGGACTATCTACAATGGTTCGCCCACCCTTAACCAATCAATGCGCTGACTGGGTAACAGGCCACGAAGTCCGGCGTTTCTTCCAGCTCTAGGGGGAGACATTTCTCCCCCTGCCGCAGGTTGAGAGCAAGTCGCCAACTGAGGAGACGAGGCGAGAAGGCTTCAGGGAGGTAACTGACGGGACGTGTCTACAGAGACCGCTAGAAAGTCGGGGCGCGTCGATGTGGGTTTCAGGAAGTCTTGAGTTTCTGTTCACCGTGCATTCACTCAAAGACCTCGTGAAATCCACCGATCTCCCGCCGGCCCCACGTTAACTGTGGGGTTCATTTGTGGAACTCTTCTGTGAGAAGAGATTATTTCCACACTCCGTGGTGTCGTGTGGTGTGCTTCGTTTTTTCAATAAGGGCTTTTAAGCGCTGCCCTGTAGAGATTTTGACCACACAGTTTCTTGTTGTACTATAAGATGGATGTCGGAAGAATAATAGAATGGATTCTTGTCCCTGGTATGAAATACCGAAGGGGGAATAATGTCCAGTATTGGGATGAGGGATTGTAGGGTGGATGAAAATAAAACTAATTGGCTGCATTCTATTTTTTTTTTTTCCTTTTTGCCCCTAGACTTCTGAATACTGAATCTATTATTGAGGAGAAGCAAAAGGAAATTCCTTTCCATCGGGGTCAATTGGGCACCCATTTGTAGAAGCATTTGCCCAGAGTCCTACTGGAAAATTCTACAGTCAGTATGGCTGAGAACCAGACAAGGGGTCGTGGCCACGTTGCGGACAGCCCCGGAGCAGAGTCACCAGCGTCTGCACCACGCCAAGACACCAGAAGGAAAAACCCGGACTCCGACGTTGAAGAGTTGCGCGTTCGCTTCAGGAAGTTTAGCAGGTCGGATGAACCAGACCCGATCAAGGCTCTGAGGAGACTCCGTGAACTCTGCGGTCTGTGGCTGAGGCCGGATCTTCACACCAAGGAGCAGATGCTGGACAGGCTGGTGCTGGAGCAGTTTGTGACGTGCATGCCGCCGGAGATCCAGGACTTAGTCAAAAGAAGCGGTGCCGAGACGTGTAAGGACCTGGAAGAGGTGCTGAGAAATAAGCAGAAACTGAAGAAATGGGTGAGTAGGACCCTAGTGACCCTGTGAGACAGGGAAAGGTGGGATGTGGGGCTGCGAGCTGGGAGATGAACCAGCAGGACCAGAGGGGTTGGCTCTGCATCAGTGATGCCCACACGGGTGAGCGCTTGCCTGGAGCATCACCGGAGATGTTTCCCTTGGTCCTCACTCTGAGGGTGTTGCTCTTTCAAATGTCATTCCCAGGAGGTGGGCTCCTAGGGTGGCATACGCAATGAATACCTTTTTGGATCTTGCAAAGGGAGACTGATGCTATTGGAACTTTTCCTCACAGACTGTAGTCCGTGTCCGAGACCAGGAATTTTTGATCCAAGACTTGGGTGTTGAGATATTAGAAGTGGAGGTCAGAGACATGCATGATGAGGGAGACCAATCCAGGGAACCCCAGTCTACAGTCAGTGCCGTTGCTCCAGACGGGGGCCAGCGGGAAAGCCGGAAGGCGCAGCAGCTGCCAGGAGCTAAGGACCTGTCTAGGGGGCAGGTGAGTGCGATGTCCTGACCTTTGGAGAGTCTGGGAGCAGGCAGAAGAGGGTTGGGTGGGTGTGGCTGCTAGAGTGTTTGGGAGAATTTGGCAACGAAATGGACCCACTGCCTCCAGGAATTCCCATGGATGTGTTCCGTTCCCAGACATTTTCCAGCCAGTGTGAGAATGAAGACTCATCCATCTTTCATGGTGCCTCACCATGAAAGCTTGTGGCCATAAGCATGAGGACAGAGGAGTCCTGTTTCCATGGGATGGTGTTGGGTCCATTCACCAGGGGTAAATGCACTCACAGCTGATTGACCCATGATGGATTTTGTCATAGGCACTTAATATTGGGGAATATTGTAAACACCTTGAATTGAATAAAAAGTTCCTAATTGGAGTCATTTTTCCCCTCAGAAGATTTTGGGGTATGTCTGGAGAGAGTGGATTTTTTTGAAATGTGAATAGGGAGAGGAGATGCTACTGATTTCTCGTAAGTAGAGACCAGCGATACTGCTTATCATTTTATCATGCCCCAGGTCACCCTCCATGATGAAGACAAATCCAGGCAACTATCAACACGTGGTGAGGTCAGGAGCCGTAGAGCCAGAGTCCTCTGCTTTCAGAGTCAGGGGCAGGGAGAATTTGAGATGAGGTGGAGAGATGTGTGCAAAGACAATTCTCAGTGCCAGCTGTGAAGTCTGGACTTGATTGCCAGACGTGGGTGGTATAGATCAAGGACAGACATGGGAATCAGGAGAGGATTGCCATTCAGGCTGATGGGAAGCAGTCAGGACATATCCCCCAAACTGGTATTCAGAAAGCTGGAGTCTTAGATCAGGGTATGAGGGGGGTGGGGAAAGAAGAGACAGAGCTTGCCGTGGGCTAAGGCAGTGGGATTGACTCTGCTTGGTTGCCCCTTGTCAGGACCAGAAAGCTCTCCTGCCAGAGACCATTCCTGAAACAGGTGAACTGGAGGGTCAGACGGCCTCCAAGGAGAACTTGGAGAAGGACCTGCTGGAAGACACGGGAATGATAAGAACCCTTCCGTCTCAAGAGCCTGAACTTCTGCAGGATTGTGGTGAGTATTTAAAACTTGGAGACCACAGGAGGTAATGACTCCCTCCGATGATGGCCAGGAAGGGGTACCCAGTATTTCCATCCCTTGGTGTTGGGGGGTAGGAGTTGGTTCTCCAATGCCAACCTTCTCCATCATCAACATTCCAGAGTGTTTCATCAGCTAGACTCCTAGGTAGTTTGGTTGATGGGAAATCTGTGGCCAAGATCAGGGATGGTTCCAATGAGGCTGGCACCATGGAAAATGCTCTTTGATAAATATGGTGCTGAATCTCTTCTTTCAGCAGACTCCGGGAGGGCAGAGAGAGAGGGGAGAGTTCCCAGGAAGGAACTGATACTTAAAATGTGGCTCCTGAACCCTTTCCTCCTGTGTTCCAGAGGGAGACATTTCCATTACGAGTGGATCCAGAAGAGGTCCTCTGAAGAATCGCAGACATGTCAAAAGGAAACGGGATAGCAGTCCCACTTGCCAAGACATGCGTCAAGAAGCAGCCACATGCTTGGACCAAGGAGAGTTCTCAGGACAGCTTGGGTCCCATTCCGTTGGTGCATCTGGCACCGTGGGACCCACCAGTCTTCCTGAGGGAGCAGAAACCCCGGGACAGGCGCCCTCTGAATGCAGGGTGTGCAAAAAGAGCTTTCTTTATCAATCTCAGCTTGCCGTGCACCAGAAGACACACACAAGAGAGAGGCCCTTTCACTGCGACATCTGTGACAAAAGATTCATACAGCCTTCGGACTTGCGGGTTCATCAGCGGATCCACACCGGCGAGAAGCCCTACTGCTGTGATCTCTGCCCCAAGAGGTTCACCCACGACTCCACACTGCGCGCTCACAAGAGGACCCACACCCAGGAGAAGCCTTTCCGCTGTGAGCACTGTAACAGAGCTTTCGGCCACCGAGGGAACCTCAGCGCTCACCAGCGCACCCACTCTGGGGTCAAGCCCTACGTGTGCCCCGAGTGCCACAGCGCCTTCCGTCAGCTGGGGACCTTCAGACGCCACCAGAAAATCCATTCCAGATGATTCACCCAGGACCCCACCGTCAGGCCCGAGGCTTTTCTGTTTTAAGGAGAAGATTTAGCATAATTTGTCACCTGTGTGATACAAAGTGTGGATGACATGCGAAGAGTTTAGGAGGATACTGGAACCAGCAGGGTTCCGTTCGCATGAATTAGGATATTTGAGTGATGATTTATTTTTCGTTTTGGATTTTGTTTTCTGCTTTGCTATAGACTATAGTTTTCTTTTTCATTTGTTTATTTTCAATTGGAAGATAATTGCCTTACAGTGTTAGACTATGGTTTTCTCACATGTTTTTGCTTTGTGCTGTTCTTGTTCTTCCAGTGAAGACATGTTTCCCTGGTTATCAGCACTTCATCATGAGAGTGAGGCTACTGCTGATTGCCTTCTTGCCAGGCATGATTTCTTTGTAAAATAGGATGCTCCTGGCAGGACGGCTAGATTAAATACAGGCTCACCAGTGAAATTTAAATTTCAAATAAACAAATACATTTCTATCAGAGAGCTGTGTATTTTCTTTTCTAAGGCTTTGCTACACAGAGTAGGTGATACCCGTGGTTTTGTCCACATGGCCATTATTATGTTGAGATAAGTTCCCTTTGTACTAGTTTGGATACTGCTTCCTTAGGTATTTAGCAAAAGAAGGCTTCTTAAATTGATAAGTGTCGTTCTTTTTCCCTACTGGCCTACAACCTCTGGTTTCTGTGATGCCTTTCTGAAATGGCTTCTCACAGTTGATCTCATCAGCTGATTTTAAACAAAAGTCTTTGATGAGTTATTTCATGAGAAAAGAAACAAGATTAGGTAACCCAATTTGATTACAATCCTCGGATTACAATTATTGGACTGCCTCACAGTCTCCAAGCAGAGAGGAAAAATTGATTAGATCAGGAAAATCAATCTGTTTCTCCAAGAAATGCCATCCATGAAGTCTAAAATAAATAAAATACATTAGAGAAAGTTTACTGCCAAACCAATATGGTGGCCTCTTTAATGGTTTTTCCTGTTGGGAGTCTTCACAGGAAATTGAATCTACCCAGATTATCCAAAGTGGTTCCTTCCATGACCTTTATCCAATCACTGGGATGATGAGGTTATGGCCAGAAACCCCTGGAGTTTCACCCAACTCTCTATAAATACAGACATTTCAGCTCCAGACACACTTTGAGAGCCAGTCCCTGACCTGAGGATGCTGAAGGCAAGAGGCCGCGAAGGGGTAAGCGATGAGTGGGCACGTCCAAGGAGAATGCTCAGAAATCAGGACACGTGGGTGGGCTTCAGAAAGGTCTTGCTTTCTGTTCATCTTATGTTAGCTGGGAGACCTGACAGGAGATCTCCCTCTAACCCCACATTAACAACGGTTAATTGAACTCTTCTGTGAGGGAAGAGGGATGTTTCCACACACGTTGCTGTGAGGTGCCTCGTTTTCTTCAAGGGTTTCTGAGCGGCGACCCTGTGGCCATTTAAAAACTACATATGTATTTATTAATAGTGTTAATTTTTTTAATTCATTCATTTTGGCTGGGCTGGGTCTTCTTCGTGAGGGCTTTCGTAGCTAGCGGGGACTACTCTCTAGCTGAGGGGTGTGGGCTTCCTGTTGCGGTGGCTTCTCCCGTTGCAGAGCCTGGAGTCGAGAGCTCAGGTTCAGTAGTTGCCCCTCGCAGGCTCGAGAGCTGTGGTGCACAGGCTTAGGGGCAGGTGGGATCTTCCCGTATCGGGGACCAAAACCATGTCCCCCTGCATTGGCAGGCAGATTCTTATCCACTGGACCACCAAGGAAGCCCTATGGTCATTTTTGACCAGACAGTTTTATGAGATATTGAATGAGTCAGGCAATGGTGTCTAATATTGGGATGTAGGGGAAACAGAAGGGTGGAATAAAATGAAACCCATTTGGTTCTTTCTTTCCGCTCCTCCCCCCCCCCACCCCCAGACTTCTAAACAGTGACTTTAATGCTGAGGAAAAAAAAAAGGAAATCCATTTCCATAGACAGCAACTGGGCACCCACTTCTAGAAGCATTTGCTCAGAATCCTATTGGAAATTCCTCCATCAATATGGCTGAGGACCAGACATTTTTTCAGGGTTGTGGACACGTCACAGATAGCCCTGGAGCAGAGTCACCGGCATCCGTGCCACCCCGAGACGCACTCATGGAAAACTCAGGCTGTGACCAGGAAACCTGGCACATCCGCTTCAGAACATTTAGCGGCTCAGAGGAATCCGACCCTGTCGAGGCTCTGAGGAGACTCCGTGAACTCTGCCGTCTGTGGCTGAGGCCGGATCTTCACACCAAGGAGCAGATGCTGGACAGGCTGGTGCTGGAGCAGTTCATGATCTGCATGCCCCTGAAGTGCCAGGTCCTGCTCAAAGAAAGTGGGGTGCAGAGCTGCAGAGAGCTGGAGGACATGCTAAGAAATAAGCAGAAACCCAAGAACTGGGTGAGTAGGACCTTAGAGGTGGGTGTGGGATGAGAAGACACCTGCAAGCTTCAGGAATCCCAAGACAGGACCCGAGGGCTTGGCTCTGTGGCAGTGATTTCCGCACAGGTGAGAGAAGCTCACACTGGGAAATTTGGGATATTTTTGGCGGTCTCAACTTGAAGGACGTAGATCTTTTATGCCAAACGTGCGCTTCTATTGTCAATGCCACTGGATGCCTGAGAGCTATATTCCAGGTCTTGTAGAGGCTGATCTTGATTGCTTTCTCCCCTCATAGGCTATAGTCTGCATAAAAGGACAGGAATATCTTGTGCGCAACCCAGATGTTGAGATGGTTGAAGTCAAGGCCGGTGACATGGACGATGAGAGAGACCCGTGCAGGGAGCCCCAACCCCCTGTGAGTGTCATGCCTCCAGAGGATGGCCAGGAGGAAAGCCAAGAGCTGCAGAATCTGCCGGGAGCCACGAGCCTGTCAAGGGAGCAGGTGAGTGAGTGGAAGCAGGTAGAAGAGTCAGGTGGGTGTGGCTGCTTGAGTAATTGGGCGATTTGGCAAAGGGCAGGAGTGGATCCATTGCTTCCAGGAATTCCCGTGGATGCATTCAGTTCCTGGACATTATTCCTAGCCAGTGTGAGAATGAAGATCATCCGTCTTTGTCCCTCTGCCATGAAAGCTTCTAGTCTCAGGAGTGGGGAGAAGGGAATCCTGTCTTCCTCACATGATGCTAGGTTCAGTTTGCCACTGGTAAATGCGCTGACAGCTGATTTACCCGCGGCCACTTTCCCCAAGGGCACGTTATATTTCAGAATATGATCATTCCTTGCAACTGAAGGAGTGACTCCAAATTGGACTCATTTTGCCCCCCAGTAGACATTGGGCTTTCCTGGTGGCTCAGATGGTGAGGAATCTGCCTGCAGTGCAGGAGACCTGGGTTTGATCGTTGGGTCAGGAAGATCTCCTGGAGAAGGGAATGGCTACCCACTCTAGTGTTCTTGCCTGCAGAATCCCATGGACAGAGGAGCCTGGTGGCTATAGTCTGTGGGTTCGCAAAGAGTCAGACACAACTGAGCCACTAATACTTTCAGACATTGAAGAATGAATGGAAGACAGTTGATTTGTTCAGATGAGGTTGGGTATGGGCAGGGGATGCTACTGACTTGCATGGAGTAGAGACCAAGAATACTGGTCATCATCTTCCTATGTACCGGGTAACCGCCATCACAAAGTCTCCAACAATGATGAAGTCAAGAGACCTGCACCTAGAGTTCTTTACTTCCAGAGTCAGGGGCAGGCAGAAGTGGGCATGATTTGGAGAGACTGATGCATAGAGAAGTCAGAGTGTCAACTGTGATGTCCTAATTTGATTGCAAGATACGGTCTGTATAGACCCAGGACAATCTTGAGTATCAGGAGACGATTATCAATCAGGGTGATGGGGTGAGTATCAGGAGACTATTATCAATCAGGGTGATGGGGTGAGTATCAGGAGACTATTATCAATCAGGGTGATGGGGTGAGTATCAGGAGACNTCATCAGCTAGACTCCTAGGTAGTTTGGTTGATGGGAAATCTGTGGCCAAGATCAGGGATGGTTCCAATGAGGCTGGCACCATGGAAAATGCTCTTTGATAAATATGGTGCTGAATCTCTTCTTTCAGCAGACTCCGGGAGGGCAGAGAGAGAGGGGAGAGTTCCCAGGAAGGAACTGATACTTAAAATGTGGCTCCTGAACCCTTTCCTCCTGTGTTCCAGAGGGAGACGTTTCCACTACGAGTGGATCCAGAAGAGGTCCTCTGAAGAATCGCAGACATGTCAAAAGGAAACGGGATAGCAGTCCCACTTGCCAAGACATGCGTCAAGAAGCAGCCACATGCTTGGACCAAGGAGAGTTCTCAGGACAGCTTGGGTCCCATTCCGTTGGTGCATCTGGCACCGTGGGACCCACCAGTCTTCCTGAGGGAGCAGAAACCCCGGGACAGGCGCCCTCTGAATGCAGGGTGTGCAAAAAGAGCTTTCTTTATCAATCTCAGCTTACCCTGCACCAGAGGACACACGCAGGAGAGAGGCCCTTTCACTGCGACATCTGTGACAAAGCATTCTTACAGCTTTCAGATCTGCGGGTTCACGAGCGGATCCACACCGGCGAGAAGCCCTACTGCTGTGATCTCTGCCCCAAGAGGTTCACCCACAACTCCACGCTGCGCGCTCACAAGAGGACCCACACCCAGGAGAAGCCTTTCCGCTGTGAGCACTGTGACAGAGCTTTCGGCCACCGAGGGAACCTCAACGTTCACCAGCGCACCCACTCTGGGGTCAAGCCCTACGTGTGCCCCGAGTGCCACAGCGCCTTCCGTCAGCTGGGGACCTTCAGACGCCACCAGAAAATCCATTCCAGATGATTCACCCAGGACCCCACCGTCAGGCCCGAGTGCCCGCTGCTCCTAGAAGGAAATTCAGGATTATTTGTCACATATGTGATACAGTGAAAGGGTGACATGTGAAGAACTTAACGATCATGCTGGAACCCGATGGGATTCCACTCACATGAGTTAGGCGGATATTTGACTTATCTTTCCCTTCAGATTTTGTTTTCTACTTTAGTGTAGCCTGCGTTTTTCTGATAAGTTTTGGCTTTGTGTTGTTCTTCTTTCAGTGAATGCAGGTCCCATTAGTTTTCAGGACTTCTTCATGAAACTGAGGTCACTGCTGATTGTCCCCCCATTAGGGAAGATTTAATTGTGAAATAGGATGCTCCTAGCAGAATGGCCAGATGAAATACAGGATCACCAGTGAAATTTAAATTTCAAATAAACAAAGACACTTCTGTCAATTAAGTGTCCTGTGTATTTCCTCTTCTAAGGTTTTTTTATATGGAGTGGATGATAGCTGTGGTTTCTTATGTGGCCACTTTACGTGGAGATATCTTCCCTCTGTAGGGCTTCCGCAGTGGCTCAGCGGTAAAGAATCTGCCTGCAATACGAAAGACCCAGGTTTGATCCCCGGGTCAGGAAGATCCCCTGGAGAAGGGAATGGCAACACACTCCAGTATTCTTGCCTGGAGAAT